GTTGGACCATACCACGACCGTGTAGCCATCGTTGATTAGCCACTTTAAGATAGTAGAGGTGTCAAGACCTATGACCTGTGATTAGTCGGGAGACTAGCAAGGGTGTAGTGTAAAACCCAAGGTCATACCTCCAGAGTAGGCGCTGTAAAAATCTCATTAGTTGCTAATCATGGAGACAGACGTATGGGGAGACTCACAGACAGACGCGACCCTTAGACATGATGGCGACTGTTGATAGGTTCTCGAGTTGTGGCGTGCTCTAAGTTCGGGAGTAGACGATGGGTTACCCTAAGTGCTGAACTGTAAAAGTAGCAGAGAAATGGAGACTTCCTGTGTACCTGTAGTATAAGAGTTAATTAACTTAGACACAGAGATGCGAATGCGGAGAGAGGTTCAAAAAGATGAGTCAACATACGACTTGGTATAAAAGGTTGTCTAAGATTGCAAATTTTTTGTGGGAATTTTCTCAGGGCCTGTTATCAATTATCAGTGCCACAGCTCAAGCTTGGCTTGCACTAGGTACTCCGTAGCGGGGTATTAGGTACGTAAGGGGGTCAAGGTGAGAAAAGTTAAGGGTTGACCTATGAGGTGAAATATAATAATGAATGATATAAATTTTTATTTTGAAGAAAGTTACTGCTTTACTGGCTATAAATATTTATAGATACTAAGTCCTTCTATATTTATTCACACATGCAACGTACGAGGAAGCTACTCGTTGTCTGGTACAGTGTGTATTGTTATCGGTGGATATTTGTATCTTATCTCTGTACGCTTACATATATTCTGACTACTCGGATCTGTCCGGTCTCGGAGCCTAGTGGTCAAAGTATTTGATAATTTGAATGTAATAAATCTCATCAATGAATATCAATCGTGGTGTTTCTTATTTCAGACGAATAATTGGATTATAATGGCTCAGTTGATTGTCTTCGTAAGATACTTGACGTCGCCGTCGAGCGCGTTCGTACTAAAGAAGGTACAACTGGCGGGGAGAACCCTATGACGTCGGAGGGGTTTTGTGGACCATAGATCGCGGGGTTGCGGCTGACTACCGACGGTATGTACATATGTATATGGGATTGCTAGGTACCAGGGTTATTTTCACATGAGATCCTTATGTGAGTGTTTGTCAATTCATATAATTCTTGTGATAACTTGCTGTTGAATAAAGTATAGGTATTCATTATTGGATTGGTTAAATAATTTCAATGTTAGGATGAAATGAGATCCTATGATAAAATTCTAGGCCATGGGTATAATACTTATGCAATTTATGAAGATAAGCATATCTTATATTTTATGAAATGTTATGTGACATCGTTTGTGCGACGACGTGACTTGTGCAACGATACCACGAATTAGTAACTTCACCATGGACAGACTCAATCGGAAGACCAAGTTCCTCATTAATTCATCAATATTCTTCAGGTCTAGATCTGCCACCACCAAAAATATCAACCGATCCGAGTTATCTGGCCTCGCCCATCTAGCCTTCATTTCATAGCCAATAATCTCCATAGATCTACCATTTTTAGATGCCGATGCAACCCTACGTAAGGGGGTCCCTAGTCAGAAAAGCAATTCAGCCGAATTCCCCTAATTGCCAAGTCTGCAACACCGCGAAATGTGAGACCCTCCAATGCGCATCTCGCATTCTCGGCCACATTGGCACTCAACACGGCGGTATTGCTGCAAGGGCAGCTTGAATTATTATGAATATTAGATCCGGTGTATATTTCGTCCCGAGTTTCGAAGAATGACTTTTTCAACTTTATAGCAAATCTAAGGTGAGGGAGCAAGAAAGAAAGAAAAAAGCAAAATCGTGTTGTTTTGATTGGGCATCGCTGACCCATGCTGAGCGCGTTCGGGATTGAAGGTCCAATTCCCGGTACCAATGGCTTTTGCGTCCACACTGCCAGCCATCTGCACCATCGTCGATACGTGAACTAGGCTTTCACGAGCGAGTTGTCGCTTGGGCCGTTCTCGGGTCGTTATGGCTCTGGTGATAATGCCGCTGCTTAAGAGTCTTCCGCGACGGCGACGTTTCCTCATCGTCATCCCAGTGATAGCATTGCTAGTCTGGGCCTTGCTCCCTCCTTCTAGGTTGAATTCTCCAACTACTCTATTTCGCTCTATCAAAGGCTCATCAGGGATATCTAGTGATTACATATTGAGATACGTTGATCCCCTTATCGGTACCGCGAATGGAGGTAAATGAACATCAATTGATATATGCTCCGAGACTTCTCACTAAAACTATTATAGGCCATGTGTTTCCCGGCGCAACTTTGCCATATGGTATGTTTCAACATGTGCGCAAACGCCTAGGATGTTTACATGTACTGACTAGTTGCCAAGGCATGGCAAAAGCCGTAGCGGACGCGGATAATCGTGGCGAGATAGCCGCCGGTTTTGTCTCAGACAACTCGAAGATTCAAGGCTTCTCTCATTTGCACGATTCAGGTATTTAACATTCATGTAATCTCACCTGATCACTTTGCTAATTCGTAACAAGGGACGGGAGGAGTGAGTTTGGTGAACTTCATATAAGTGACATAATCCTAACTGGTAACAGAGCCCCTCGTTAGGCAATTTCCCGCTCTTCGTACATCCTGGATGCCCGGAGGATGATTTCTCCCAATGCAAGTTCACCTCTTACGGCAGGGTGGTCGCAAGAGTAGATGGCTCCGTGTCAGCGCGACCGGGCTATTTCGCCATTGGGCTCAACAATTCGGTCTTTGCTGAGATGACGGCAACTGAGCATGCTACGCTCTACAGGTTCGGCTTATCGAAAGACGCCGAAGTTATGTCGAATCGTGCAATGGTACCTACTAATCCACTGATCCTCCTCGATTTGATAGACCTTGGCAATACTCGGACCGGAGGCGATATCCAAGTTGACCCTGTCACGGGTCGAATAACAGGGAATGGAACATTTAGCCCCTCATTTGGAACCGGCAAATACACGGCGCACGTATGCGCGGACTTCAAGGGCGCCGACATTCGTAAAACCGGTGTTTTCGTAATGAATAACATCACGGAAGGGGTTAATGCCATGGGGAATCTGGGAAGTCAATATTACATTCCGTCCGGCTCGGCGGGGGCTTGGATCCATTTCGCTCACCCTTCTGACAACCAGATCATGGCGCGTGTCGGCCTTTCGTTCATATCTGTGGAACAAGCGTGCCGCAACGTGGAGGACGAGATACCCGATTGGGGGTTTGAGAGTATTGTGAAGGCCAGCCAGAAAGCTTGGAAGGAGAAGCTATCTGTGATCAAACCCGATTATTCGGGCATGAGTGAAGAATTCCTAACAACGTTCTGGTCTGGTTTATACCGCACGTTGATATCCCCCCAGGACTATACCGGAGAAAACCAACTTTGGGACTCGGCCGAGCCGTATTATGACTCTTTCTATTGCATTTGGGATTCTTTCCGAGCTCAACACCCTCTCCTTACGATTATCGACCCCGATATACAGACCAAGATGGTAAGATCGTTAATTGACACGTATAAACATGAGGGGAAACTGCCGGATTGCCGTATGAGTTTTAGCAAGGGTTACACTCAAGGGGGTTCCAATGCAGACGTGGTTCTCGCAGATGCGTATATCAAGAATCTCACGGAAGGTATCGACTGGGATCTAGGGTACGAGGCTGTGGTGTCGGACGCGGAGGAAGAACCGAAAGACTGGGCTACGAGTGGAAGAGGTGGTCTTGTAAGTTGGCATGACCTAGGTTATATACCCTACGACGACGTCGACAGGAATGGGACGGGCCCCATGAGCCGGGGTGTCTCACGCACGGTGGAATACGCATACGACGACTTCGTTATCGCGCTCATGGCGCGGGGTCTAGGTCATAAAGGCGATGAGACGAAATATCTCCAACGCAGTCGGAATTGGAAGAATCTTTTCAACCCCGAGCAAGAGGATCGGTACCGCGATGAGGACGGCATCGTGCAGATGTCGGATTTCAAAGGATTTCTTCAACCCCGCTTCCGTAACGGAACCTGGCGATACCAGAACACGCGACTTTGTAGCCCGATCTACCAACAGCACAGCTGCTACTTCGACACACAATACGAGACTTACGAAGGGAGCCCGTGGTTATACACTTTCTACGTACCACAAGATATGGCCTCTCTTATCAAGGCGTTAGGTGGGCGCGACTCCTTCGTGGAACGACTAGATTATTTCCACTCGTCGGGAATTAATTACATGGGAAACGAGCCGAACTTCTTACCAACCTTCCAATTCCACTACGGAGGTCGCCCCGGTCGCAGCAGCTACTGGGTGCACCAGTACATACCAGCCCAGTTTAACACGAGCGTAAACGGCATTCCCGGAAATGACGACTGTGCTATGGGAGCCTTCACCGCATTCGCATTCATGGGCTTCTATCCAGTAGCCGGTCAGGACGTGTATCTATTAACCCCACCTATGTTCCGCGAGGTCAGCATCCGAACGCCCACAGGCAAGCTAGCGACGCTGCGTAACGTGGGCGGTTTCGACGGACCCCGCTATCGCAACATCTACATTCAGAGCGCTAGATTAAACGGCCAGCCATACACGCGGAATTGGATCACGCATGACTTCTTCGTCAACGGCGGGACACTGGACTTTATATTAGGTGCTGAGGAGAGCGATTGGGGCACGAGAGACGAGGATCTGCCGGCGAGTTTGTCGACGGGACTTCTTGATTAATTGAAGAGAGTAACCGCTTCAGAGCGATGAGGAGATTTCGGAGGCAAATTGCATTGAAAATGTTAGATAGATGTCAAAATGTGCTCTGTAGATATGGAGGTGTGAGGAGCTGTGTCAGTTGTACATAAGTGGATCAGGCAATTGTCCTATTTTACACATACCCAAACACTACCTCGTATTGTAAAATAGATTTTTTGGCTTGTGATATCGCCAGAAATACTACATGTGCATTTTCATAGTCGGGATGGAACGAAAAAATAATAATAGCACATGTGTCTCATACAAAAATGTACTCTCGATCGGGGAATCGAACCCCGGCCACCTGCGCACTCAATATTCGTCTAGAGACAAACGGTGATGACAAGCAGGTATCCTGACCACTAGACCAATCGAGATTCCAAATCTATTATCATTTGACCTTGTTGTGTTGTTTACGTAAGAGCCTAAGGCGTATAATATTTCCAGCTAGCCCTGGAGCAGAATTGTAGAAGTGTTTGCATGCTAGGAAAATTGCCATTAATGCGTTATTGCTCAGTTTGATAATAGGGCTAGACAGGAGCGTGGGTCTGGACTAACGGCAGAAGGTGGGTATCATACGTAAAAATAATCGTTAGGCAATCGTGGTAATAATAGATCAAATGAATGCAGGTTTATTTCGCTAAAGACAATGAAGCTAGGATGACATATATAAACACATTAGGCTATCAGTTTCAAGATGAAGACTATTCGAGCTCGTCGCCTTCACTCTCAGCCTCCTCTTCCTGTTCTCCAGCACCATCAGCCGGCTCATCAGAGTCGCTATCGATATTGGGATCGGGCCTGACCACACTGTTGAGGAACGTAATCTTAAAACGCCCCAAAAGTTAGCTCACGGAAGCAAGGTAAGAACCTCAGGTGACGCAATACTCACAAATTCAACCATGGCCGAAATAACCTGCATAATCTTATCTTGCGCATCCTCGGCCGTGAGATCCGAGTCATCAATCGTCGTGCCGATGGTGTAGTTCCTCAGCTTCAGGAGCTCGATGTCCCTGTGCTCTGGATGGAAGCCCTACTCTCGTCAGCATGCCCTCGCCACTCAACCTCTAACGCTAAGACCCAAGTAAACCACAACTTAAAAAAAGAACATACCTTCGGCTTCGTCTTTAGCGCATACTCCTTATTCTTCGCAGCGAACGCCGCGATCACGGACTTCTCGTTCGCTTTGGCATTAGGCAGGAACGTCTTTCGGAACGTAGGGTTCATTAGGACGCGGCGGATGCGGTGGGGCCGCTCGTCGATGCTCGCGCGCAGGCGGGCTATCGACTCGGCTTCTGGGTGCCAGAGCCCGCCGCCAATCATGCAGTGTCCGGGCTCCGCGTGCACGTAATACGCTGCGTACGGGCCCTTCCTGCCTGTGCGTGACCATGCGGCTGAGTAATGGGCCTACGCGAAGTCGTCTAGTTAGATAAAGTTAGGTCCGTGAGTGGGAGGGGTGAGAAGTACCTTATACGGCGTCTTGTTTTTGCTAAATCGGACGTCGCGGTAGATTCGGAAGACGACGTCCTTGATAGGGAGTTCGGGGACTGTATCGTCGACCTCGATGATCTTCTCGGTAAGTGTCTCGACGAACGACTCCCAATCCTTCAGCGATCTCCTATATTCTTTATCGTTTTCTAGCAAGACATGTAGGGTTAGAATAAAAAACAGGCGTATACCAGTCACGATGATTGGGAAAGTCGCGGAAAGTTATATACCTTTTAGCCATTTCCTATTATTATTGACCTTCAGATCCTTCAGGAAAAGAAACGTGTTTTTATGGAGTCGTTCATCCTCGTAATCGACTCCATCCAAGTCTCTGAGTTTCAGGGCTGCAACAAGCCGTGTTAGTATTGGCTACGGATATCATTCGCACCAAGGTGTTGAATCTCATGAGGTCATGCTCACCAGGAATAAACGTAATCAGATTATCCTCATCGTCGTCATCGTCATCGTCATCATCCTCCTCAACTTCAGATTCCTCGGATTTAGCTTTCGCCTTAGGTTTTGCTTTGGCCTTGCTCTGAGCCTTCGGTCTACCCTTACTAGCTCCCGCATCCGAGACCCGGGCTTTCGCACTGGCCTTCTTCGCACTCGCAGCCTTAGCAGCAGCAGCTTTCGTCGGAGTCGGAGTTTTAGCCGGTCTCCCACGTCCACGCTTCTGCGCCACCGGCGGGGGTGACAGCTCATCATCTTCCGATTCGTCCTCAGACTCCTCTTTGTCCTCGACATAGCCGTCCCCGTCATCTCCGCTATCGAACTCAGACTCGCTCTTTTCCTCTTCGTCCAGTAATTCATCTCGTATCTCTGTCTTCTTCCCCCTTATCGACGTGGCCTGCATCTTCGCCGCCTTCCGCGGCGGCGCAACCTTACTCAGTTCATCGGTGTCCTCCGCGTCGTCGACGGTTTCGAAGTACGTGCTCTTCCTGCCGCTCAATCCGATGCGACCGGATCTACGGCGCGAAGTCTGCGGAGTAGATGTAGCCTCAGCCGCGCTGCGCTTCTTAGGAGGCATTATCGCAAGCAAATAAAAGAAACAATTTTACGCTTTATATATGATTGACTTTTTAGCCAAAGTTTAGGACTGGGAAGAAAGACGTCGGGTTGAAACGATTGATGACGCGTTGACTCACATTGGGTCGCGGGGAATACACGCTATCACGTGACTACCACCTGTTCCTTTTCGTTGGATTATTCAGCCTTATTAGGGGACCCCTGAAGTTCAGGAATGAGCGATGCCGAGGTAGCTATTCGACGATCGCCCATAGATGGATTAGGCAAGCAATTGAGTGGCGCATCTTATAAATTGCTTTTAACAAAGAAACCTTTGAGCAGGAATATGTGAGTACACCATTAGACACAAAGATAAACGCAGCTGTCTCATCGTATTTATCAATCGGATTTTAGCTCGACCTTGAACTACTACTATATACCTCCTTGGTACCTGCAATTGCGAAGATAGCAGAGGTGATGTGCTATATGCCTTGATATTTAGGAAAATATCAATAAGCATCGCCTAGCTGCAGCCCTCTAAACCCGGAGGTACTTATATCTCCTTGCCCGATAGCAACAATGTCGTAGTACTTTCACCCTATTCTCATTTCCGCAATGTAACTAATTCCTCGAGGCGCTAGGAACCTAAGTGCTAGGGTAGTTATGGGAATATTCCATTCCTACTAACCGCCAAGTATGGTCGAAAAAGGCCGTTTCTTTACCATATCAGTAGCAATAATGATGCTTGTAAATGTTTCTGACTAAGCACCAAATATCCCCCGATATTATACTCTAACAAATAGCACAGCCAGCTTCAACGCTGCAAATGCGAAATCTTTAGTCAAATAACTGCCCGGACAACTATCCGTGGCGATCAGGTCTGTGTTGATGCGTGGCCAAGCGCGCCCGGCGCAACCCTGAGGTGCGATCGTGCTTCAGTTGTATGATGGAGTTCGCCGGGACTGAGTCAGCCAAGTCCCGAGTTGGGAACCATGCGGCCTAAAGGTGTCCTATCCCGCGGTTTCTCTAACAGGTCGGCGTACCCCTCCAATCCAGCCCCGATTACTTTCACGATGTCGAAAATATGCGATCCCTTAAATGTCTCGGCCCACAGACGGATTACCGCCACAGCAAGTTGACGCAATTTCGTGCCGTCATTAGCGGCCACGTCCATACTTGTCGGGCCATGCCCTGGACCTCCTCCCGAAAGCGATGGATCGATGGGTACTGCAAATTCTGTCTCGTCAAGCATATGTCGTAGCATCTCGAGTAGGTTTCGTTCGTCAACTTCGGGAGGGGCACCCGTCGGCCCGATGGAGGAAAGAGTCATTAGCCACTTCGACAGAAGTATAGCGCATTCCAAGTTGCATACTAAGTCAAAGTTAGATGACATATTCTTAGGCATTCACTAAAAGCATTCAATAGCCACTTACATGAGTGTTGCATACTCCATTCTGACGACTTTCTTCTTGCCACATAATTAACGCCCTGTTTCACCAACATAGACAACGCGTGTATAGCCTGAAACACGGCTCGATTCAGTCGTACGCTACGGACGAGATACGGTGCATCGTGGAAGGATTGGGCGATCTGGTTCGCATCCCTTGTCTCAAGAGTTCTACTTGGGCTCAAATCAGTATATAGTCGGATCGATGCTAATCGCCAAAGTGCTGTCGAATTATAGGCAACCGGGCCTCCGTGGAATACGTCTGAGCCGTTCTGCTGAGTGCCCTCCGTCACGCGTGCCTGATGCTGTTCGAAACTCATCTGCCAGATTCGTAGAGCTTGAAAGCAATCCTCCACGTCATCTTGACGGAGACCGCCAAAGATAGAGACTGAGTTAAACGATGTCTGCTTCAACAGGAAAATGTGTTGTAATATCGCATGTATCAATATATAATTGCCGAGGGAGGACATATAAGCTGGTGGTCCTTGCGAAGGTCGACTAAATAGTCTGGAAAACGCATCTTGGAGCGATATGTCCATACTTGGGAAAGATTGGCGAGCTTCTTGCCATTGCCAAGCCGTTTCTGCTCTCCATAGTTTTGCAGAATGCGGAAGGATGAGACTGAGTTCCGATGTGAGTAGCAGAGGTGGCATATTGTATGCGATGCTACAAAGATTAAAGAAGCAGTACGTGATGAGTTTTGTGCGGTTAGCCCCCTCTATACGGACCCAGGCCTCCCAGTCTGACGTTTGCGTGGACTCTGATAAGAATCCCTCTTCGCGTACTAGAAGAGCTAAAAGACTCTGTAACGACAGGGCTTCGCGAAGGATGGCCTTAGCACCCCAGAGACCGACGGCAAAAAGTAAAAGGAGAGCTTGTATAGTCTCCATTCGGGATTGAGGCGTGTTGGGGGAACTTTCAGAGGAAAATCAGTAAGCTAGGATAAAGAAGTAGAATTGTAACTTATAAAAGTAGGGTTGCTCACTATGGCTCTCGATGCGTATCTTGAGTCATTGGACGCTCTTGTTGGACAGAGCTGAACGAATGACGAAAACCGTGGCTTGGAGATGGCCGTGTCGAATGTGGACTATACGCCGCCGGCGTAGGTAACAAACCATGGACCTCATGACTATGGCGTCGTCGAATTTGCTCCAATGCTACCGCCTTTGCAGCATACCAAAGAGCATTTGACCGATGGCTCTCAAACCTGTATTGCGCACCTACTGCTAAAATAGCTAACAGGAGCTCCGGTGCTAGTTCAGCAGCTATAAGGGTCGGTAAATGTAGGATCGGGAGGTGTTCGTGGAAACCGCTAATGTAACCTTCCAGAAAGCGAGTAAGGGTATGTCGAGAGGGAAAAACGAAATCGTTGGGCAGTACTGATGAAAACTCGTCTAATCGGTTTTTGATAACTGTATGATCCGCGGCAGAAACCCT